GTGCGTTTCTATCAGTCTTCCTACCATTATGACCAAGTTGCGAAAACAAGGTCAAACAACTTCTAATAAATTATATAGATTAAAGTGACAAAATTTTGATAGCAATGGGCACTATCAGTTAAACTTGATGCTAATTGACTAGCAAATTACTTAAATCGGCAACAATGAATCAATAGCGCTGGTATTATAACTTATTTCACCAGCAATAAAGAAAAGGTTTGTCTTATTAAGCTACAATTTTTTCACAATTCTCACAAAAAATGCGCGACTCTTTAATAATCATTTAATCCAAGAATAATAAATGATTGTGAAGAGCATATATATGACTAGCATATATATAATAATAATAAATGATCGTTAAGAGCATATATATGACTAGCAAATTACTTAAATCAGCAACAATGAATCAATAGCGCTGGTATTATAACTTATTTCACCAGCAATAGAGAAAAGCTTTGTCTCATTAAGCTCCAATTTTTTCAAAATTCTCACAAAAAATGCGCGACTCTTTAATAATCATTTAATCCAAGAATAATAAATGATTGTAAAGAGCATATATATGTGATATTTATGTTTAAACGATAATTACGATATTACAAACGAAGGGAACATTATAAAAGTGGATAAAAAATAATTACTAATTGTATCAGCCTTTACAAACATTAATAATACGAATGGGTGACCTCGTTTTCGCAACTTAGTCTTGTTGTCAGGGCGACTTAGTTGAACGTACCTTGTCAGAAGTCTTCTGCCATAGTAGTTATAATTCCTAGCATCAGACCGCTTAATTGGTGCATACATTATTAGATTTTTGAATTCGAATTAGGCAGCAATTTTGACCTCATATGTGCTAATTCAGGCTCTTTACAAGGATTTGATGCCGGATCATGAATAACAAGCTAAAAAATTACATCTCTCGATCTCATTGCCAATGATTCATGAGGTACAAACAAAGCACAGGATATGGTAAATTCCCTTGGGTCAAGATTAAATAAAACTCATATATGCTGTTAACCTGGTCGATGTTTACAACAAATATTAATTTAGGAAGGGTTGCTACGTACCGCCTGATAAGTGGAACTTAGACGAGTAATAACATGTTGTCGTTTGGCGAGCAGAATCAAGTTTAGTATTTTATAGTGTTGATAATGCCTAGATAGAGTCAAAGTCCATACAGAGTTAGGAAGTCTGAGTTGGAACAAAGCAGGTTAAATTTATTAGAAGAGTAGGACCTCTAACTCATTATATCATTGGTAGCTCAGTTATCAGGCCATAGATTACCAAAATAGCTTAAATAAACAATAGTATAGGTACGAATAAAAGAATCCATTTGGTAAAGAGTAGCTAGATGACAAAAAATCACGAAGTATAGGGAAAAAAATTCGTTTGCACCATGCAATCGGGTAACCAAAAAAACCAGTCAACTCGACTTAGAAAATAGAAAGAATATGCAAAACTCACAAGGGTAGCTTTTAAAGATAGAGGCTTTGCTGGTACTTATATTAGGCGGTGCGGATCTGCAAAATTGACTTGTCAAAGTCTGCTCGACTAGAGTAAGCCGCAAATGAGATCGGCAATAAGGCGAATCTGGCAGGCCGAGCCATGTCAGAAGACTGAGAATTAAGGGATGCTCCTTCAGTACAGACGCCATGGCTACTGCTGTTTTTGGGCTCAGATATGAACTGGTGAATTGTCTCGGTCTCATCGCTGTACTCACGAAGGCCAGATTCAGCCAATGAAGTATTGCCAATGGTAGAAGCCGTTGTTAGGTTGACAGGACGGCCAACCAGAGATGCATATGGACCACGACCGACCAGTGTTATGCATCGTTCCAAGCAGTTGGCCAGAGGACGGGTGGCGCAAGCAAGATCGATGGGATCGAGCAAGGCCTCGAGATGTGGAAGGATGGCTTGGCCAAGTTGTTGTTGAGTCTGAGAGAGAAGATCCCAGTCGAGCCCAAGGTCTTCAAGTAGCTCGGTATCCGAGGTCAGGACGTAAGAACTGCTAGGCGAAGCCTGATTGCAACCATTCTCTTGCATCTATAGAAATAAAGAGATTTAAATAGGGGCGTAGTATGGAACGGATGATTGTTCGGACGAACAAATTATCCCAATTATCTAGAAATTATAATCAAAAAATCAAATTATTTGATATCTCGATGGAATGTAAAATATGGGTCAAATTTAGCTTGTATTAGATGTTAGCTGGAGTAGTCATGAGCTTAGATAAAATATCATAAACGACCACAGTATAATAAAAGAGTAGATACTTCAGGTCAAATAGTCGCTAAGTCATAATCGTTGTTGAATATTGGACTGGTCTTTTACGTAAAAATACACTGAAAGTGAATTACTACACTAGAAAAAATTTATTGAATAGAAGAAAAGAATAAATTTAAGTTGTAAAATCAGCTGTGCTTAGCGAGTGTCCGAGCAAATAGTTTCCTACACTTAGTCCTGATGATGAATTTTAAAACTATCCCTTTAGTTTTTAGTTATTAAGTAGGGTTTCGAGATTATCAGTCATTTATCACTGTAGATGAAATAGGATGAATACATTTGATATATCCCTTAAGTGTTTGACAAACCGGCTTCAAACTGCCTGCTATATTGAAGATGGTCTTCTAACTTGTAGGTGTGAAAATTGAGTAGCCGTGGTCCATACAGTCTAAAATATCGGAACCTATTTCAAAGCATGAATACCACATACAAGAAAAAATTTGTTACTGTCATCTATTCAATGTATTTTTCTATAACAATTTAGGTAAGCTGGTCAAGGTCTATGGCTTGATTTCACCCATTTTTGTTTTGCAATAAATCCATCAATAAAACATACAAAAGTTACCTATGTATATTAAATTAAACTAAAAAATAAAAGAGAAAATATTTACTGATTCTTCAGACTGCTGGATGAAAGTCTTCGATAGAGAATCAACAGGCTTGTCAACAAGCTTTGAATTAGCAATGTCACTGTGCAAAGGCCTTATAAAGAGGCGCAAAATAAAACGGACATCAAAGATGAGCTGTAGGAGAATGGTTGTTGGCAGCGGCATAAGAGTCCCACTTTCTGAGTCTGAGCAGGATGAAAATAAATCGGTGCTATGGGCTGATTTACCGTGCTGAGATAAGGAAGTGTCATATTTTAACCTGTCGACTAGACGGGAGTACTCGTTAAGGAGAGATACGGCCAGGTGACGAGCGAATATGTCCGACCAGGGTGGCCTATGATAAAATAAAAAGGTAATAATACAATAAAATAAGAAAAAATTACACCGATATCTTTAAAAAAATAATTAAGTTTAGTTGTGGATATGCACAAAAGTGGAAGCAGCCCAAAAAAATTAATAAGCATATATCAAAACGACTAAATAAAAAATAATGATAGAGGGATATTAATAAAGTTATAGGCTTTCAACCCCAGAAATAAAAATGTTCTCAAAGGAATAAATTCACCCTTAAATGGAATCAATTGATAATTTTAAGGCCAAACCAATATAATACTTCGATGAAATCGGCCATTTATTGTCTCTTTTTTTTGAGAAGAGCAAGTTATTTCTTTAACTAAAGGCCATGTCAACCTGGAGACTCAGGCGGAAATAGCCGTATAGTCAAACGAGTAACGCCTTCGCCTCTTCAAAAACCTAATCTGAGTTTATATCTGATAGTGTTAAAATAAAGGGACAGTCCGTTCTGGGCATGGAAGCATTTAGCGAATAAAAGGCAGTGTGAAATATAGCGATAAAATCATTCCTTCTCTTGGGGTAATCGTAGTTAAATCAGTTATTAATGTATAAAGCATCAAGCAGGCGACAATGTACATATTTTTTTATTCGTCAATATTAATGTCTTAATCCTGATTTCAAAGAACAAAACCAGTAAGTCTTAGAGAAAACTTGTGATAATTATGAAAATTTAAATCTGAAATAATGCATTGTAAAATATTCGAAACATTCCAGCTAAATGCGGATAAACGTTTTGAAGCACACACACAATGAGTATCGCTTTTATTTTATGCTAAAGGAGTTGGAGTAAGAGAAAGGCTTTATGACTGAATAGGGAAGTAAGAGGTAATCATACCAACATTTTTATCAGCAACTCAGCAAGTTTCATCTAGCCAGGGGGAATATAAATAATATATTAGTCACAAAATCCAATAAATATCTATAAAAGCTTCCAATTAATCTTCATTGATTGACAATTGAGCCCTAAAAGCAAATTCTACCTTTCAGATGACTAATAATAAACACAGTTATCAAGATGATACATGCAACTTAGTGAATTCAAAAAAAGAAAGCCAAGCGAGTAAGTCGATCAAGAATATTATATATTCTTACCTGGGCATGAGGTGGCAAGAAAGCTGATCAAGTCGGCTGACGACCTGCATTAGAACGCGGTGTAGAGGAAGGCTGATGTCGCAAGGGACCAAAAGTACAGGAAACGGGGCACCAGCAGAAGGTTGAGATCGGCTAGTATCTGCTGATTCTAAGTGCTGATTGCCATCGAGCATCGTCTCTTGCCAGGACTATAGGCAGGCAAATAAATAATGCGAAAACTATCTATAGAAAAGATTGAAAAATATATTCAAAGGATGAATATATTAAAATCATACGAAATGCATTGAAGCCTATATCAGAGCTAACCTGTTCGGTCAACCTATTAATGTGTGCTATCAGTGGTCAAACGACACAAGGAAGAATGCCTAATCGAAGGCCAGCTTCAGTTGTGTTCTGATGAGATGAAGAGTAGTAAGATTATGAACTCAAATTAATCTGATAGAATTAAAAACATCTTGAATCAAAGAGGTGAGTCTAGGAAGATGAGTAAAGGCAAACTCTTGGTAGTGATATGGGATAAAAGAGAACCATCTGGCAGAAAGGGACTGCTTAACTAGTGAAAAGTTTTGTAATGGCTCTAGCAGTTCATCTGGCATAATTGTATAAAAGAAGAAATAAACCTTTGTGGAATGTTGCATGAGACCTAAACTTTCATAACAATGTAGAAGTATGCTTAATACAGGTCTTTTATGCAAACAAACGCATGCAGGAAATGTTGTATGATTAGTAGTCTAGCTCTGCTCATGTCTAGAATAGTAGAGCATACAATATTTCAAAGGAGACTCATCAGACTATGTAGCTTAAACCGATATTCATAAATCTAATGCTCCCTCTACACAACCTTAGGAATGCTTGAGCAATTCTTTTCTATAAAAGGTATCCAGTTTTAGTAGTAATGCTAGGATCTAAATGATAGGTAACTTTAACAACTGCAAGGATGGAGGTGAGAAAATACAAATAAGGATGAAAAAAAGAAGTGGAGGCCAAAATGTGTGGCTAAATTTGGTTACCGTGATAAAGTCCGAACTTGTAGATATGCCATGTACAGGGAAAAGTGATGCAGCCATCCCTACTATAGACAGACGGGTGTTACAACATAGTTTTCGAGAGTTTTCAGACAGTTCCAGATGATGAGGATGCAATGATGATGAAGATGCATCGGTCGGAAGCTGCACTGAATTTAAAACTGTTTTATCAGTCTGTTCTTCAAGGCCACAGGATGACCAAAGATTGGAACGAAACCGGGTCAGAAGCCTGGGTTCGTTGTAAGGCTCTGGATTTGAGTTGCATTTCTGCATTCCTGGAGGGGTCGCAACTACAAGACGGGCTTTATCTGAAGGAAGAGTGCACAGGTGTCGAGGCGAGATATTTACCAACCCTGTGGCGATTAGCTGACCAACAACAGCCAGACTGCAGGCGGTATTGCGGAGAGGACGACAGGCTGTCAGCCAAACAGAGCGGAGCCGAGACGAATTCGACCAAAGGAAACGACTGTATAACAAAATAAGGTGAGATAAAAGCAAACACTAAAGATAAGTAACCAGTGCTCAATAGCTACCATAATAGCTGAGAAATTCAATATCAGTATATTGTAAATTAAGTATTTAAGTAAAGTTTAGAGACTATCAGTAGATCAGTTATATCAGATGTATTCACCCTATTTCGTTTGAAGTGATGAAGCACTGGTAGTAGGATCTTCCTACAATGATATGAGTAGAGCTAACAACCCCACCAAGGAATGTGATATGGCAAAGACCTGCCTTCTTTGAAATTCACATCTGCCCTGTGACCCAAAGACACTCGTGGCAATGTTGCTGAGTGCTTAACGTGTCAAGCTCACATGCTGAAATGTTATGGTTCAACTCCTGCTGAGGGTATTGAAAAGACCTATGCGAGGTCGAAACTGCAGTCCACTAGTGTCTGGATGAGAACAACGTTTGGGAAAGCAAGGCTCTGAGAAATTCAATGAAAACGTCAACTATACTCATATAATTGAGAAAATTCCACTACCAATCCTTTATCACCTTAAACGAAAATCCTATCTTTCAGCATGTAAATATTTCTTCCCGTTTATTTGTTTACATAAAATATTGAAGTAAATCCCGTTGTTAAAAGGCATTGTAACATTCACTACCATTGCTGTATTCTGTCTCAACTTATCTGAGCGAAGCAATACACAAAAATGCGCCCAGAAATACTAAAAGAATAACTCTTCAATGTGGACGCATCTAATTAAAAAGAAGTTTAACTGAAACACCCAAAACACAGTCGAAAAAGTCGGAGACCTACTTTTCATTGTTTTTATCCTTTAAATCATTCGCCTGCCAAACGAGGCCAGAAGCTGTCACCAGACCGGCACTAATGGCCGAGCAGAGTTCGGTCAAAGCGAAACCAGAACGTGCTAATCCAAAGAGGTAGGCACCAAGATTCCAACTTGGTTCATCCAGACAGATGCCCAAGTCTTCGGTGTACTCGGCGTTTCCGCTTTGGGGCGATTGCTCCCTACTTTCAGTCTCAGTGCAACTGTGCCCAGTCATTCTATTGACCGGTTTGTGCTGGAGGGAGTGAGCATTCTGGATGGCTTCGAGTGCTCTTTTCAAAAGGCCAACACGGCAACTTACAAGAGCCAGGCGCAGAAGATCATTATTGTGAGTGGAGTCAGTGACAAAGGGGAAGAAGGAAAGAGTTTGAGAAATTAATTTCGTCAAAATAATAAAAATTTATGAATGACCAAGTATAAAGTGAGTAGATTTAAGAAAGAAGGTGCTTTTAGTAATGAATTATTTCAACGATTAAATTGATTCACTAGAGTGGAAGCACAGATAGTAAGTCATGGGAATCCAAACTGACGGAATTTTTATAATTATATTAAATATCCGAAATCGGCGGTGCATTTTTATAGCTTTAAGGCTAAATCACGTCATAGTGAAATAAAAAAAGGGTTAGAGCTATGAATAATGTGTAAAAATGAGATAAAAGTGCGGAGGTAAAAAGTGCCCCCGGTATGGTCGCACTTGTATAAGATAAAGAAGTTCATATAGAGTTTAAGTGATACGAAGAAAAACTGGGTTTCGATGAATCTCCTGAGATAACATTGTTAGAGGGACCTTCATTTCGTA